GAAAATAGGTTTAGATAACATGGTGACATTTGCATTGCCATTTTAGTACACATTTTGAACATTTCCTTGTAAATACTGCATTAAAGACATATGCCTTAAATTTCAGCTAGATTAGGGCTGTCTCTACCTGGTTGATAAATGTGCCTAAGATTTTCTTTTCCCCACTCATCATTCATTTGCAGCTGCATTTCCATGGTCATTTGGAAATCAAGTGGAATAGCTGAGAATAAGTGGGATAAATGTTTAAATTGAGAGTCTCCAGATAACTCTTCCTGCCTCTCTACTGGGAGCTATGTGCTTGAAAACCAGCAACAGTAGTGAAGGGGGAAGAGGAGACCAAGAAATGGAATTTGGGATTTTTTTACAGTTTTAAGAAATGTGGAGCTGAATACAGAATCAGGGGAATCTGGTGTATTCTGTGACACACTGCTGCAGTGCTGTTTGCTTTTGGATATCTCAGCACCAGGAAGATGTGAACTGAAGATACAGATAGTGACACACAAGGAAATAAAGGACTGTTTTGGAGGAGGATAAAGTGTAGCCTCAGCAGATGCTGTTTTAGAGTGGAAATTAAATCTGAGTTAGGGGAGGCTGAGCAAAAACCACTGTAAGATGTACTTGTGTGGGTTCAAGCTCAAGCACAGGTAGTTCAGATTAACCACAGTGGAATGCTGAACAGACTAAGGGATTGATCTTCCAGGAGCAGTGATGGTAAGGCTGGCATTTACCCTGTTTCTTATCACTGGATAACAACCTGTGAGATGTAAACACATCCAGGCCTTTTTCCTTTGTTGTTTTCTCATCCATCTAACTTTACTTGTCAAAAAATCTTTTATCTCAGCTTTTTTAAAATCTAATGTCTTCGAAATAATCTATTCTTTTCTCTTGCAATTTATTTTGTATTGTGTGTATTTTATAATTTTGTGTCAAACCTGTGGGGTTTTTTTCCTTAAATTAAAATGAAGAATACTTTTTTGGATATATTCAGTTAAATACTTCTGTGTCCTCAATTCTGCCTAACTCCTTATGTTGAGTTCTTAGTATTTGTTACAGGAATCTGAGGCAAAACTGAGCCAGAACTGAACTGGCTCATGAATGTCAAAATATTCCTGCAAATCACAGTATGGAGATGAGCTGGACAGAGCTGAGGGCCTGCAGCCATGGGAAGCATCCCTGCATCCCTTCAGAAGGAGTGGTAAAGGAATTGTTTGTAATTTCCATGCAGGACTCTTAGGACAGCTTAATAACAAAGGGACAGTCCCTGCAGGGATCCAGGCTTAAGGCTGGGAGCCTTCCTGCTCCAACAGGAATCCAATCTAACCCAACAGAGAGAGCTAAGCAAGAGGCAGCTGTGATCTCAATGCTTCTCCAGTGAGAACCCATTTCCCAGATTATGTCAGTAATTGCCATCTTGATGATCCCACTTCTAAAAGTTTCTTTTATCTTACAGCAATTAACATGTAAATCTGATTTTTTTCCCCCATGAGTCTTTTGCAAGTGGTATAAATTCCTATAAATCACTTAAATAGGAAGCTCAGAAGTGTCATCTGAATTTCCTTGCCTTACTCATTCCCGTCTCAAATAACTCCCTTGGTGTTACAGCTCTTAGAATTTCCTTTCACTTACAAAAAGTTTGTTTGAAGGGAGAATCCAGACGCTATTTTACCAATCCAGTATGAGGAAAACAAGTAACTTTAACACATCTGTTGGTCCCTATTCAATACAAAATCAAATAGCCCAGCAAGAATCAAAGGAGGGGAAAAAAGGAACAAAATCAGTCACAAGTTTCTAATTTTATTTTAACAATCTTGCTTTTTAAAAAATACAAGTTCTGATTAATGCCAGGGGGATGCCAAGTGTCCATCAGCCACAGGCCTTATCTCTCACTTCCATTTCCCCTCCTGGGAGTAGTCATCTCTTTTGTCAGGATAGCAAACAAAGAGCAGTAAAATGCTAAATAACTGAGTTGTGTAACAGAATCCCAAGGGACCTGTGTCTTAGTATGGCACAAATTCGTTCAGCAAAGTGTTACTGACCTGTTCAGTAACTGAATGTTGGCACAATGTACGGGAGTTGTGCAAGGTGCATCAGGAGAGGTATTGTTTGCACTTCCGTGGTACCACCAGCTCTCTTCTGCAAACAGAAAGGTTTAAGGAAGCAAGAGCTCAATTACCAAAGAGGAGGGAATTCAAGAGGAGGAGCAAATTTATAAACAAGACATTGAAGATCTTTAAATGTTTTTTCGTAGTAAGTAATTGCAGGAGCAGCAGAGCTGCCCTTTTAGTTGCAAGGGGGCTTCAGTATAGGCAACTACAAGAGCTTTAACACTCTCCAAACAGCACATTTCCTAACAACCTAGAAACCATGGCACCACAAAGAACAACTTTTCTACAAAGGAATTCTATGCAACACAAGTGTCATTTTGCAGGGTCGTGTGTCCCGGGCAACCTTTTCATCCTTGGAAAAATCTGAACTGTGAGCTCACTGCCAATGGGTTAAAAATGCCATGGCCAGATAAATTTCAAATATGCCATTTTTCTCAATAACGTCCTAACTGGAAAAAGGCACTCACTTTTGAAACAGCAACTTTGTTATGGGCTATGAAGGGGTACTGAAGTAAGACTCATTAATAATTGTGCTGTGATTCTTTTGATGTCTCAACTATGCTCATGCTTGAGTGTATTAGGGATTAGCACTTTGGTGCTATTGGGAACTTGGCCATAGGAGCAGCCAAACGTAGTTGGTGATGAAAAGCTTTTTTTCTCCTTCAGCTTTTTTTTAGCAAAGTTGGTTGGGGATTTTTTTTTTCCTTTCAGCTGTTTGACTGAAGAATGGATTAGTCCTAGGTTCAGGTGTCACCTTATTCTCTCTTGAATAATTATTTCTGAGCTTCCACTACCTATTTAATGCTGAGAAAGGAAGGTGCAAGGAAACAAATATCTGTACAAGCGTAATATGCCTGTAATTACACCTCCTTTGGCCAGGAACTTAGCATCCCCTCAACACATTTCACATCACATAGGAAAAGTTCACAGTACCAAGTTTTACAATCACAGTCACTCACAGCACCAAGATTGTCCAGACAAGAAGAAGTTACTGAAGAGAAAGGCCACTGGCCAAAATTCACACAACTGCCCATGTAAGGGCTCAGGTTAAAAATAAAGCACTGGTGGGAAAGTTAAGCCTAGCTTTTGCCAACTCTCCATTTGGCACGAGGAGAGCAGCGAGTCACCCATGCTAGCTGCACTTCTGAACAGAACAGCACTATTGACCCATCTTTTCATGGGGCTTTTCCAGCCCCTCAAAACCCATCAGCCACCGTGAGCTGCGGGAGAAGAGCCCCATGGCAGCCCCACTTCTGCCTCTGGGAGCTGGAAGTCACCAGACTGTAAACATTTTGTTGTAGCAGTCCACTGGAGCAGGCAGTTGATCCCACTCTGTGACAAGGAAGGTGGGGCAGAGGCTCTGAAGCCCAAGCCCTGAAAGAAAGAATAAATGTGTGTGCGGAAGAAGCCTGGGCTGCACCTGCAGTCCTGCTGTGGGTAGCAGTTGGTTGTGCTTTATTTCCCCTTCCCATCAGGACAGCTTGAAAAAAAAGAAAAAAAAAAAAAAAAACTTGCAACAGGAAACTTGTTTTTCACAATTATTGCAGCCTTGCCCAGATAACAAAATATAAGCCTGGGAGGGGCAAAGTCCTTCCTCCAGACGTGGTCTGTGTGCTCCTCCTTCCATGGGCTGGTTTCAGGAGCAGTGGCAGCCAGGCAGAAGAGCAGGCCTTAACCCCACCCAACATTCATGGAGCTTAAAACCAAAGAAAACTGTGTTCCTATGAGAGGTTACTAACAATTTTTCCCCACCTACCCTAAACCACATGCACACAGAGGACAGGATGCTGATCCATGGGCTTTCACCAATGCTCGAGAGCCCCTCTGCCCCGAGGGCTCCTGCAGCACTTTGCTTTCTGTGCTGAAATGTTTGGTTCACTGAGCATGGAGCCCACCCCGAGCAGTGCCAGCGTCCTCTGCTCTGCTCTGCCCTTGGAGAGGGGGCACTTTGCCGGCTTAGCCCCATCTCTGCTCTCTCAAGCAGGCATAGAAGGGGGCCAGAGGAAATATTCCAGCCTTTCTGGCTGTGTAAAGGAAGACCCTATGTTCCGTGTAAAAGAAAACCAACGCTGATTCGGTAAACATGCATATTCACAGAGAAATGAGAGCCCCAGCACCTGGGGATGCCAGCAGGAGGCTGCTGTAAACCCTGTTCTCACCAGAAATAAATGTCTTGGTGGTTATGAAATGGGGCCTAAGCCCTGGTTTGTGTCCATGCTGGACTGGTTTCTTTAGCGTGTGAAGTCAATGTAAGATGCAAAAGGTTGAAGCACAGAGGTAGACATTTTGGCTAGGAGAAGGTGGCTCATGGGCTTGAAGTGACCGAGTGGCCAGCGTGCTTCCAGAGGTTCCTTAGCTGGCACACAAAGGCCTGGGAAACACAGGCAGCAGCTTTGCACGACCTAGGGAAACCAAAGCGTGCTTCCTTCTGTCCTTCCCACACCTGGAGGCAACACCTGCTGGTCAGGCCCCTCTTGCATCTCATTATTGTGGTCAGCAGGAGTTCTTAAAGGAGGGGACAAAATGGACTGGTCCCTGTTGAGGATGAAAAGGAAAAAAACTGAACCTTTTCGGTGACAAAGCAACACAATGTCCTGGGGCAGGAGGGGGGGGTTGAAGAGTGGGACCCTCCAGACAGTGGAGATGCAGAAGCACTGGGAGAAATCTTGTCATGAAGGACCGGTGCGTTTTCTGGGGACAAGCGTCATCCGTAGGCTCCTGCAGGTAGTCGGGTTTGTGCGGAGCTTCCGCTGCTGGGTTTGTCCAAAAGGAAGGGAGGAGGGGAACGGGAGTCTGACAGGGAAACCCACGTCCCCTTCCCCTGCTCGGCCACGGCGGAGGGAACCTGAGCAGAACGCAGAGACAGAGCCTCTGCCGGGAGCGGGCCCGGGGGGCTCAGCCCTGGGCGGTGACCGCCAAGGCGTTCACGTACCCGTGGGGACCCACGTCCACGTCGGAGAGCCCGTGGGCCAGCGGGGCGGCGGCGGGGGCGGCGGCGGCCGGGCCGTACTTGGCGGGCGGCGGGGCGGCGGCGGGGCGGAGGAGGCAGCAGGTCTCCAGCGCCTCCAGGCCGCGGCAGGTCAGGAAGAAGAGGTTCTTGAGCATGAAGAGGGACAGCGGCTGCTGGTAGCGCAGGAGCAGGAGGCAGCGCAGCGCCAGCAGCGGCGCGTCCAGCAGCCCGGCGGGCAGCAGGAGGTGCAGGGCGAGGCGGGCGGCGCCGGGCGGGCGGGCGGCGCTCAGCTCGTACAGCCACAGCACCGGCGAGGCCAGGCAGAGGAAGTAGACGGCGATGAGCAGGTAGCGCAGCGGAGCGGGCAGCGGCGCCGGCCGCCCGGGCTGCAGAACCAGCTCCAGCAGGGAGAAGCTGTCGAGCAGGTCGAGGCAGGTGGCGAGGAAGGCGGCGGCGGCGCGGTGCTGCGGCGGCGGCTGCGGCGGCAGGAGCAGCTGCCCGGCGCCCTCGGTGCCGATGGCCCGCAGCAGGCAGTACAGCAGCGGCGCGGAGAGCGCCAGGGTGATGCGGAAGCCGGTGGTGCCCAGCGGCAGGCGCAGCTCGATCAGCTCCAGGATGGAGGTGCCCAGGATCAGCGCCGCTTTGGGCGTGAAGGCGATGGAGTAGATGAGCCAGGCGAGGTGCGCGTAGGCGAAGTCGCCGCCGCGGGGGGGGACCCCGGCCCCGCGGCCCCCGGCCCCGCGGCCGCCGGGGGGGCCGTGCAGCAGCAGCGGGTGCGGCGGCGGCGGCCCGGGGGGCGGCGGGGGCCGCTCCCGGCGGCGCGCCCGGCTGTTGCGGCAGAAGAAGATGCCCCAGCCGGCCGCCAGCACCAGGTCGGTGGCGATCCAGCTGCACCAGTACAGGTCGGTGACGGCGATCAGGTAGAGGTCCAGCAGCGCGCCCTGCCCCAGCAGCAGCACCAGGGACAGCGCCTGGAAGCCCCAGCGCCGCCCTCCCCCCGCCCCGCCGGGCCCCAGCAGCGCCCCCGCCGCCGCCCCGCCGCCCCCCGCCCCGCCGCCCGCCGCCGCCGCCCCGTACAGCTCCGCCGCCGTCATGCTGCGGCCCGGGCTCCCGCCGCCGCCGCCGCTGCTGATGCTGCTGCTGCTGCTGGGGAGCGGCGAGGCGGCGGCGGGCAGCGGGGTGGCGGGCGGCGGCACCAGGGGCTTGCTGATGCTGCTGCTGTCCTCCTCCTCTTCCTCCTCCTCCTCCTCCTCTTCCTCGGCGCTGCTGCGGGGGCTGCGAGGGCGGCGGGCCCGCGCCGAGCCCGAGCTCGACCCCGAGCCCCGCCGGCTGCCGCCGCTGCTGGAGCCCCGCTGGAAGAGGGGCTGCCGGTCGGCGGCGTGCGGCGGCAGCGGCGGCGGCGGCGGCGGCGGCGGCGGCGGCGGCTGGAAGGAGCCCGAGGAGGAGGAGACCGAGCGCTGGTTGGAGGCAGCGCGGTGCATGGTCCTCCCCGGCCCCCGAGCCGGCGCGCCGGGCCCGACGGCCGCGCCGCGGCCCCCGGCCCGCCCCCGGCCCGCCCCCCGCACCGGCCCCGGGCCCGGCGGCGGCGGCGGCGGCAGCGGTGCGGAGAGCCCGAGCGGCGGCGGGCGGCGGGGGAGCCCGGGGGCGGCGCCGAGCAGCAGCCGCAGCAGCTGCCGGAGCCGGGGCGGGCGGCTGGCGGCGGTGGGTGGGCTGGGGCTGGGGCTGGGGCTGGGGCTGGGGGAGAGGCTGCGCGGCCGGGGGAGGGGAGGAGGGGGGCGACAACGGGAGGGTGAGGAAGGCGCCCCCGCCCTGTCCCCCGGGATGCTCCCCTTCCACAGCTCGGGGAGCGTCCTGCCCCGCAGGAACCCCGCGAGCCGCCCCCGGGGACGTGCCACAGCCCCGCGGCACCTGCTCCGTAACATCGGGAGTGCTTCGGCCTCCCCTGGTCTCTCCAGGCTGGCCAAGACAAAGACCAGTTGGCCTGGCACAGAGCCTACAATGAAGTGCTCATTTGTGGCTCATCTGTGCTGCTGGACATTCATCTGTCCCCACATTTGGTCTGGTGTGTTTGTTCATCAAAGTAAGTGTCTTTTATCCCACCAGCTTTCCGAGTTGAGCCTATCCACATGCTGAGGGCCCTGCCCAGTTTGCCATGATGGGACAGAGCCTTTGAATTGATATGAATAGCTCTGGAGTTCTTACTTCTACTGAAAGCAACAATTGGGACCTTTATTGACCCACTATTAATGGCCTCGAATTGAGCTTAATAGCTGGCTGCATCTGTTTATCACCAGCACGAATGGCTTGGGACATCATGTTCCAAAGTGCCTCGGTGCTCAGCATCACCAGTTCCTCATCTGTACCTGTGCCCACCAGTGACAAGCCAGGTGCTTGCCTGACAATGATGTGCAGCACATCAAATAAACTATCTCCACAAACATCTGTATTAACTACACTTTGTGATAAAGATCCAAAATAGCTTCACGTTTTCAGCATGTTGCTGAATCAACACATGGCACTGAGCAAATGCTGCTTGGTGCTGGGAAAGGACATCCAGGACAGCAGTGACAATCATCTAATACATGTTATTGCAGGCTCCCTGAGGAGCCCTGCTCCAGTCAATGTCCCTGGCTGCTCTTGGTTACAAGGAGAAATCAGTCTGGAGTACAAGGAGAATTCATGCTTAAACTTGAAGCAAAGAGATAACTGAGTAAGGGAAAGGGAGAACTTGGGGTGGATTGACACAAAGATTTCTTTGGGCACACAGCAACAATCAGGGGAAGGCTTTCTCTCTTTGACTTTGCTGCCTAAGAAAAATCCATGGCCAAACAATTGCTTAGACTTTTGTCTACAAAAGTCTACAATTTTTGTACAGCCCCACAAAGATTTCACTGAAGGCTCTGTGGATGGGCTCTGATAGGGAGCAGGAGGCTGGGGTCCACGGCCAAGGAGGATGATTGCTCTCTCTGGTGCTGTTTCATGTTCCTTGGCTAGTGTTGGGAGTAGGACAGCTCAGAGTGGTGTGAATGGCACCAGCTGTGCCTCCTCATGTGGTTTCCACATAAAGGCTGGGTTGGATGGCAGTGTAAGCCCGTGTGGCCCATGGTAGAGGGTAAAACCACATCCTTATGTTCTGGATCCTGGCTTTTATCCAAGGTGGGTGAGTGCCTTCACCTGACTCTTCTCAGGTAAGCCATGATTCATGTGTGGTCAGCCCTCAGCATTAAATTTGTTTGCTCTTGCCACATTCTGCTGCAAGGGGAGTTTTCCACTCCTACAAGAGGATGTGGAGTAAAAACCAAGCATCCATCTGTGCTGCTGGGGGCAACAGCCCTCAAGCAGAGAGGGCTGCTCCTGCCCTGCCTGGGCAGCAGACACTGACAGCTTTGCTCTGGGTTTCCTGAGCAGTGCAATTCCCTGTGTGCCACGGGCTGGACATGCCCACATGCTGCCCTGGCAGCCTGCCACAGGCACTCACAGCTCTGCTCTTCATCCAGGCACTCATTTCACAAAGATTCCCCAAAGCTTTGGGAGGCTGTGTGGTGTCCCCCCTGCTGGGTGAAGGGATTTGGGTGGGGATCCCTGGGCTTTGGGAGGGCTGCCACCCACAGCTGGCATGCAGAGCTGGGAAATGGGCTCTGACCCTGCCACCCAGGTGATGTGGGGAGCTGGGAGCAGGGAACTGAGGCAGCTGGGAGGGAGCTCAGGGTGCTCAGGGGCCTGCTGGGCTGAGGCTGTGTGAGCAGGGCAAGAGCAGCCTCGTGGAAATGGCTCTCCAGACACCACAGGATGCCTGCTGGGGCTGTGAATGTTCCTGCATCCAAGGTAGGTAGGTGGGAACAGGGAGGACTCGTGGTGGCACAGCAAGGGGAGCTATGACAAGGAATGGGGGGACAAAGGAAGGAGGGTGGAAGCTCAAGGGCTTCCTTGGGCTGAGTATGGGCTCCAGCAGTGCAAACACAACAAAAACGGTGAGGATAAGAAAGGAGCTTATTTGTAGGAAAGGAAGCAGAAATTGTGCCTCTGCTTCAAAACGGGAATGAGGGGAAAAATGACTTCTACTCAAGAAAGCACTGAAGAGCTTTTTGTAGCACACTGTAGGATGGGATATGACAAGATGATGCTTCCCATGTGATCCAGTTATTTAATGCAATGTGCAGTCCTTGGATGTGTTAGTGCTTAACCACTGCTGTTAAAACATTAAAAAGCTAAACTATAAATAGATTCTACTCTTTAGTAGCTCCCAAGCTATGTTTTTGGCTTTTTTATGTATTGATGTGTATGCACAGAGATGTGTGTGTATACATATATTTAAAGGGAAACAGCAGACAGAGTTTTGTGCAATAGTCATACTGAATATCTAAAATGCTACCATTTTTAGTTTACACTGCAAGTGGAAACAAGTGTGCCCTCAAAAATACCCCTGTTGGGGGAAGGCAAAACTTTCTTGAGGGTTGAACTTGGGAGGAAACAAAATAATGACTCAATTTCTTGGGGGAAGGAAAAAAAAAAAAGAAAAACAGGGCAGATATATGCCTGAAAGAAAGACCAGAAACTAGATACCTAATTATACCCTGCAGTAAGCTGTCAGAAACTGGCAGCAGTGGGAGGGAAAGAGGCAAAGCTGATCTCAGGGAGTTTGAGCATAATCTGCTCCAACCATACTTAAAATGCCTTTTGTGTGGGAAAGGAAGCTTCTGGGATTCTCTGACACACACTTTGTGCTGCACTTACCTAACCCATTCAAATGGTCAGGGCTGAAGTGACAGATAAATGTAAAAAAGTTTCACCTGGCCAGCACCAAAATTCAACGATGCCTTGGCTACCAAATGCAGCCTTTGTATCTGAACTGCTGATCCTGGTGTTATGGTTCAGGGAAAGCAGATCCTCTTCAAAAGGATATTGAAGTGTTAACAGTCTATTGCTTGTAATTACATTTCGGTTCAAAGAGCTTTCAATGCCTGCAGAAAGTGCCAAGACATTTCTTTTCGTGCTTGTAGCAGGGTAGGGGGCTTGGAGAGGGGATTTGGGGTTTGCTTTTGGTGTTTTGTCTTTACTAAGTCTTAGCATAGAGCATCTATGAGCTGACCTTGAGGAGAAAGTGAAAGCTCTTCATAGTTTAGATGACTGAAAAGGAAAAGTAGGTGTGTTACAGTGAATTAAGTGTTTTCTTGATGGAGGCTTGATTCCTAGAGAACGCATTGCTGCCCTGCTGGTGCAGGGTTTCAAACTGTTGCAGACTGGGTCTCTGCAGGTCTGTAAGTGCACAGTGTTCATCAAATTAACTGCAGCCATAAAAAAAAAAAAAAACATACAGATTTGTGTTTTATAATTGGGGTTAGGAAGGCCTGGCAATAGAAGGGTTTGGACAGGCCCCTAAAGGTATCAGGGCAAGCAGGGACCAAGCACTTCCCAAGGGTTACCCTGGCAGGCATTTCTCACGGCATTCCCCTGGGACCAAACTCCTCCAGGGCTCTCAATCCTTTTGTTCAGGTTGGTTCTTCTTCAGTGTTTAACTCTGCACCTTGGGCTGGGTAAGGATTTCTCTGGGGACTCCAACTTCCAGCTCAGCCTCTCCTACAGGGGACACCTTCACCCTAGGCTGCCCTTGTGCTCTGACAGCAGTGATTAAAAGCACCTGGGAGCTTCAGGTTGTGATCTCTCCCTGCTTAACTAAACCTTGATTAGCCCTGTCTTGGGTGACTGCTCCAACTACCAAAGCACTGGATAAAAGGAGGAGGCTGATTAACATTTATCATTATTTATTAGAGGCTGGGGCTGTAGGTCACTTCTCCAGGATGTAGAATATAATTCAGTTATATTCTGAATATATATATCTCCTCTCTCTGCTGAAATTGGGAATTCTAGTCCACTCCCTCCAAAACTGCTTTATGATTGTTGCTTTCAACACCAAGTTCTCAGGATCTGCCTCACACTTGTTTTGCTATCTAATGTGCCTCCTGTGAGCTGTGAACTTTGTAGATGGGAAACTTTCTGATAAAATATAAAAAACAATGCAAGTTTTTATATTGGCTGTTTCTAGATTATTAAAGATGATGTTTTCACCTAGCAGGATTTTGAATTTTCTGTTGAAGTCAGGGGAAGCTTTTGGTTCTAGTCTGAAAGTTTGCCAGTTAATTGCTGAAGGGGTAACTTTCAGGGTGGTTCCCTCAAGAAAATCTGGTAATATCTTGAAGAACAGGGAGAAAAACATGAAAAAGTAAACATAATTTGCCCAAATAATCTTCTAGGGCAAAGATTTAAAAGAGAGCAGGATAATCCCCATTAAATGTACACACAGGAAGTTAAAATTAATTTCAAAGAAAACATATTTTATTATTTTACATATGTGGTTGAACAAAGCAGCAACTCTGTAACTGCATTGAAATTAATATGAAATCTAAAATAATCACAGTTTGTGATTTCTCTGAATGATATATAATCACTCTTCTGCAGTGCACATGACACAATCTGAAACATTACCATTTCCTGGAGGGGGAAAGACATGGCAGGGTTAGGACTGGAAGGAAGGGGACAGCAGTGTTATTCAGATGCCCTGAATGCCAGGTTAGCAGCTGCATGTGTCCTGTGGAAGAAAGGAATTGACTTCTCTGGCCACCATGTTATTGCATGCCATAAAAGCTCTTGGTTTCAGATCCAGAACAAGGTCTATCCCTTGGTTCCTTCCTGCTAGCCTCAGTTGCAAGCTCCCTTCTGGCTTGACTAAAACCTGTTCATCTTTGGAAGATGGAGTTGTTAGGATCAGGTCTTTGCCCTGTTTGCTGTACAGGGCAGTGCACCATGTAAATATTAAGGTACTGGATCAGCAGTGAAGTCCCCTCTCCTGCTTGGTCCCTTGCACAATCTGCACAGAAGGATGACGGCTCCAAAGAACAGAAATACTGCTTTGGAGACACCTCATCTGAGCAATACATGAGACAAAGGAAGAGTTTCCTTCCAGCCACGCTGGAAGCTAATTCCAGGGAGCTGCAGTTCCAAGGAAAAAGGATTTCACTGAATTCTGGCAATAAGAGATGTCCATAAATGAACTGGATGTAAGTGACAAGCCTGGGCAACACTCTAGCACAACTCATGGAACAGAGGAGACCTGCCAAGCAATGCCATTAACAGAAACCTTTCAGAATCAAGCCAGTGTCCAACAGCAGCTGGAGAAGCCAGACTTCCTACTCCATCCAGTGGGTCCATGCAATTCCCAGGCAGGGACTTGGACAAAGTGCACTGTTTCAAGGAGCCAAGAAGGGGAAGAGGGGAAAGGTCTTTGCATTGCTCAGACCAAGGGCAGCCTATCTGGCTAATTAGTGCAGAGAGCAGCAAAGCAGAGTTTTTTATGCAACCTTACTTGGTATGAATTAGGCAAAGGGTACAAGATATTTCTAGATTCCTTCTCCTCCCTTCTGTTCAATTTCAACTCGCAAGCAAAGCATTTTTTTAAAATTCCTTATCACTGAAGTTCCTCCTACACATTTTTAAGACTGGTGGGAAAAAAAACCTAAACTGATCCAGAGCTAAAAGCAGATTTGGAATCTGAAGCAGATTCACATCAGTCAGCTCACCTCTGCTGCTATTCCAACGATGGAGATGCCTGGCTCCCTCTCTGTGCAAACCTCTTCCTTCCTTGGAAGAGGTGCCACAGCCGTCAGGGCACAGTGGTTCAGCAGCACCTTTTCTCTGAGTAACTGGCACCACACTTCCAGCAAGGAACAAGACAGAGCTCTGCAAAGGGCTGGCTGCAGATGGACAGACCTCAGCATTTCTGCAGTCAGCACTCACCACGCTGGAGGTGCGGCTCCTTCTTGCTGCCAGCAAACACCTCCCTGAGGTCTGGCTATGAGCACCATTCCCAGGAATGCCAGGAAAGTCAGCACCCAAGTCAGCAAGCACTGCAAGGAAAGGGAGTGTTCCTCTTTCTGCAGTGGATGGCACCTCTGGAAAGGGAGGCTGAGGGACACTGGAGCCACCCTGTGAATAAATGGGGTCTGGGCTCCAGTTTCAGGCCTTGCAGGCTGGGTGCACAGTACAGCTGTGACTCTGGAGAGGTGCTGAGCTAAAGGACCTTCCCTGTGTTATATCCCAAGTCCTTCCCTGTGCCTGCTCTTCTGGGAACTGGAGACAAGCCCTTATTTTGTGCAAGGAGATGAAATGGTAATTTCCTTCTCTCTGCAGTGAAAGGAAAAGGATTCAAATCTGTGTTCCTCCCATTATAGCTGCTTTTAGAAGCAGCCAAGCAATTCTTGTCTTACCCCAAGTAATGGTAAGAGAGGAAGAAACTGCTTCCCATTGTGGATTTCACTGAGGGAAAGACATGCAAAGAGGTGTTTTTCTGCTCCTGTTCATGAAGGGAAGGATAGAGAAACAGAGAAGGAACTCTTTTGCCTGGATAACTGAAAGAGCACCTGATCTGCCTCACACACAGAGCCTGGCACAACTTAAGAATTGAGCCTAGGCTGCAACGACCTTCCTAAGAAGACAGATCAGGATTGAGAGGATGGAGAGCAGCTGGAGCAGAATCTCAGTGCACATGGATGCTGAGACTTGAGTCAAGAACTCAAAACTTCTGTGCAGAACATGTTTGCACCCTGTGTATGGAGCTGCCTGGAAAAGCAGGAAGGAGGAAAGAAGAGGCAGAGTAGACCCATTTCTGATTCCTCAGTGTGGTGTGAGCTGAGTGTAATTAGGAAAATCAAGTCAGTAGTGTTGGCTCCAAGGCATTTCATCATATACACAGGCTGATTTGTGCTTCTAAAATCACAGTGCTCCTCTGGAATTAAGACACTCCTTGCTAAGCCCAATCTTTCACATTAATTTCTCATGCAAACCTTGCTTATTTTCTTTGGAATGTCTATGGAGACACAAGTCTTATCTTTCTCTGGATAGGAGAGCTAGGAGAACAGAGGCAATAGAAGGTGCATGGTGTTGGGGAAATGTTCCTGGGCAGGCAAGTCCCAGCTGCTGATTCATGTTAGGGGGACTCTACCTGCATGTTAAAGAAAGAGGAGGGACCAGAGGTCAGACTGTATGGGGTATCCCTGAGCTGCAAACCACATGAGGGATGAGAGGAACAAAAGAACTGGAAGACACAGACATTTGTATTCTAAAAGATCAGGCCTGGGGATCTGGGGCTCTGGTACCATCCTGGCCTGATTGATCTTCTCTTTGAATCTTTGCAAGCAAGGAAGGAGCAAAGGTGGACTGTGACTCTTTTTGTTTGGCCCTTGTTCCAAAGAAGGGCCCCTCTTGGAAGCTGTGCCAGCTGGAGCAGGTGGATGTTCCCTGCAACAGTTGGGATCAGAGTGGGTGCCAAAAAAGCCTCTTGCTGCAGCACTGAGTTCTGGGCAAAGACAACTCTGCCAATTCAAACTCTGTGGTGGTTTCCTCTGCTGCTGAGCACAGGCTGCTGGCTCCCTGGTGGGATGTGAAAAGGCAGGGGTGTTCACAGAATGCTAAATAGGGGGGAGGGAACAATATAACTTTCACCTCGGCCCTGCAGCAAGTTGCTCTGGCTACTGAAGCTTCCTTTGAGGGGCTCTGCCTCTCCACAGCTGCCAGATGACTGCAAAACAGAACTTTGTTTCAGGCTGACAGTGATGCAGTGGCAAATCCCCAGGCAAAGAGAATTTGTTAAAGTCTGTAGGCACTTACTCTTCACGAGGAGAATGTTAAGACTTAAAGCCTTCTCTTGGCATGGAGCCACCACAGCCCAGCTTTTGGTGCGCTCGAGTCACAGCCTGGACAAACAGCACATTCTACAAATGGCTGATGCTGGCTCCTTGTGTGGGAAGAGCTTTGCCCTCAAACACCCCACAAAGAGGAGGGTGGGCTCCCCTGGTCTTTGCACTCAAAGTGTGGAAAAGAATGAGCTGTGGGAGCTGAACAAAACTGGGATTGCTGGGACAAGCCTACTCCTTATACCCTGTTTCCATTATGGCTCAATTATGGCTGGCAGCAATGTGCAGTCACAGTTGAAAGTCTGTGGGCAGACGAGTATTAAAAAAATTAAGGGGCTTTTAGTGCTGCAACAGGGAGTTTTCTTAAACATCAGCTAGATTAGAAAATCACCCCAGGTCCCTCCCCATTCTTCCCCTCTTTCCAGTACATAAAACCCCTTACAGCAGATCTTGAGGCACACCTGTCTGAACCCCTAGCTCCAGTTTTCTTTTTTAAAAGCAAGTTGCACAGCCTCATCCACATCCTGCACTATGTGGGACGCCTGCAGCAGGCTGGGGTCGAAGCAGAAGTCCCGGTGTCCATGGAACACTGTCTCCTCTGTTTCCTTGGGAGCGGCGCCGTCGGGGCGGTACACCCCAGTGCAGACCAGGATGGACTCACAGCTCTCCACTGAGTTGTTGCAGTCATTCCTCAGCTCCAGGGAAAACTCAGCCTGGGCACTGGCTGCCTGTGGGCTCCTCTTCAGCCCAGCCTGGACCTGGTTCTGCTGAGCTGACTTGAGGTAGTTGTTGTAGAGGTTTGCCCCATAGACGTCAGACATGGGGTTATCCCTGGATAAGGTCACAGTGTGAAACAGAAAGGAGAAACAAGCCCATGAGAATGGGCTCAGAAATGATAAACAAGCCCTCTGGCTCTGGGGGACTGAGATTGAGACAGCACTGAAGGAGGAAGGGGTGTGAGATAGCTGCTAACATCAAGAGGAGCAGCTGGAGTAGGCCAGTGAGCCCTGCTCAGGACATGTGCACCTTTCAAAGGGGACACAGCACAGCCCAAGCACCCAGAGCAGTTTCAGCCATGACTGGATCATATCCCTGGATTATTTGCCCAAAGTGTTTGGCCAAACTGAGCTAACAGTGCTACATCTGGGTCTCTTAGTTTTGTCTTTGAGTCGCTCTTTGTGCACTCTGCATCCTGTAGTCCACAGCTTTGCTGTGTAGGATACAAAAAGCCAGCAAGCCACTGTTCCAGGATGCGAGGCTCCAGAAATACCACTGGAATTTTGGTATTAACTTTAGAAATATCCAGAGGGGGAAAAAAAATGGAAGAAAGTAAGAAAAAAAAACCCCAAACAAACAAACAAAACCCCACCACCACTAAAGAGCAGTCAATTTGCAACTCCCTAAGGAAACCAGCAGGAAAAAAATCTCTTACCCAACTGCATAGAGGCGTCGGATGGGAGCCTTCCAGCCCTGCTTCTCTGCCTGCTGCTGGATCAGGTACTGGGCATAGCGGTAGGTGATGGGGCTGGGTTTGCCAATCAGGGCCTCATACTTCAGCTCCTTGCCTGTCACCTTCTTGTAGATGCTCTCCAAGCAGAGCAGGAAAGTGCCATGGCCAAACCTGCCCCAGAAAGGAGGTCATCAGCATCGCCAGTAACAGCACTGAGGCAGCAAGCACTCCTTGGTTATTGCCTGTTGTGGATATGGTGCCCACACACCCCTCCACAGACAGTGGTCTGGCTTTTGCTGCTCTCCAGGTTTTAGTCTTTATTTCTCATACAGCTTTCATGTCTCTGCTGCTAATTACATTGTACAATCAAGCTCTTAAAACATTCAAATCCTAAAAAAACACAGTAGGAAAAGATCATCTGCACGAGAAGAGTGTGAAATGGGCTAAACCAAATCCCACACATGCTTTTCACCTGGGCATCTTGGCTTCAGCCATCCACAGGAGGTCCATGTTGCAGGCCAGGATAGGCAGATGAGGGTATGGCACATCCTGCAGCTCTGCCCCAGGGTTCCCATTGCTCAGGAGTACATCAGCAATGAGTTGCAGGCTCGTCTCCCACCTCACTGGCTCGCCAAACAGAATCACCCCTGCAAGATTTTGAGAGCTGTTTGGAAACTCACAGCATCCAAAAGCCACCAGCTAACAAAACCCCTCCTGTGCTGGGCTGCCCTGGTAGGTACAGCTACCAGTGGAACATGGCTGCTGCCAGGGCTCCAGTCTGCGCATCTCTGCACCATGTGCACCTCTGGTTCCAGATACTGGCACACAGCACAGGGAAAAGTTGCTTTGATCCAGCTTTTCCCAGCAGTGAGGCTGCCTCCTGGCTGTGCCCTCTGCATGTGCTGCCCATGGACAGCAGTGAGCTGACAGCACATCATTAGCTCCCAGCCCAGCTGGCCTGCCTTGCTCTTAGCTCTGCTTGCTGCTCATATGTAAACACAGGCCTCTGCTTACCTTCTATAGTGGGGAAGCCAGGGGGGGGAGGAGGAGGCTGCCAGAAAAAAAGGAAGGCTGGATTAGTAATGCAAAACCTAATGCTAATATTTTCCGCCTCCCCCGTCCCAGATGGGATTTCACAGATCTTGTACTCCTGTCTCAGAGCTGGAGATGCCAACCAAACCATCTTACCCCTCACTGCAAGGAACAGCAATGGAAGGCAGAGACAGGAGAGGGCAGAGTCACTGCCCTTCCTGCAGGAGCCAACAGTGGGAAGAGCAGAGGGGCTGCCTGCTCAGTGCCAGGCTCCTGCTGAGGGACCTCAGTGACAGCTGCCCTGTCCCTTTGCTGTGTGCTGTGACCACCCTGCCCCAGATCACCCCTTCTGCTTATGCTTCAGGAAATTACCAGCTCTTTCGGCCTGCGGCTCAGGTCCACCATGTCCAACAGGGGATATGCCTTCCTCAGGGCCTCTATGGTGACCACGTGCTTGAACCCCAGGCTAGTTCAGACCATCAAGGAATGTTGTGGAGACTGGTTTGCTTGGTTTTGGTTTTTTTTAAAGTGACAGTTTTTCTGTAAGTTACTTGCAGAAGCATCTGCAGGATTAAGGAATGCAAGTCCTAGTAACAGAGCAGTGTGGTAAAGTATAAGCTTTCAGCCAGACAAAAACACCTTCTGCTAATTACATTGTACAATCAAACTCTTAAAGCATTCAAATGCTAAAAAATCACAGTAGGGAAAGATCATATGTACGAGAGGAGTATGAAATGGACTAAACCAAGTACCACACGTGCTTTTCACCTGGGCATCTTGGCTTCAGCCATCCACAGGAAGAGCAGACTGCTCAAAGCCCCATCATATTTCAGTTCCTTCAACTGCTGTCATATTCTGGGGAAAACCTCATCCGTGGGACAGTTGGGAGTGACCTTTAATGGGTTTTGCCATGGAAGAACGGGAGGAGCACAACTTTTATCTCAAAAATGAGACACCTAAAGCTGACGGAGTCCTCATGCTCACATCCCACCAAGAGAACAGCAATCACAGGAGAACTCATGAGCGTGAGAAGCCAAACACCAAACAGGTGAGCCAGGCAGCGACCACCATGGGCATCAACAGCACCTGAGCCTGTCCATAAGGACGCTGCCCCATAAGGTAAGCCCGGTGACCTTTGTGTCTCCTTGTGCTACAGAAGCTGAGCAAGAGCGTGCTGGGGCAGGAGCAGCAGCCTTTAGCAGGGCACACAGAGCACCACCAGGCACAAAGGATACTTGTGGGCGTTCTCCTGCACGGGCCCCTGCCCGGCCACCAGCATGCACCTCTGGTGGAACTGGCTGAAGAGCTGCAGGGGGCTGTGGGACAGGATCACCTGCTCCGGAGACACCTGCGGGACGGAGGGAGCCCGGCTGGGACCCGCAGGACCTGGCCCCTTCTCCCGGCGGTTCTGGAGCTGCCCCTCTGCAGCCCCCGGGCCGCGGCCAGGCCGGGCACTGGCGGTGCTGCCCTGCCGGGATCGCTCGGGCTCCCTCCCGCCGCCCCGTCAGCGTTACCTGCAGCCCCAGCGCCCGGGACAGCTCTCGGGCCTTGTCCGAGCGCAGGCAGTTCCCGGCGTTGGTCAGGAACACCACGGGCACCCGCAGCCGCCCGCCGCCGTCCGCCAGCCTCTGGAAGGCGCGGCGGGCGGCGGGCACGGGCTGGCTGCCCCGCACCAGCACGCCGTCCACATCGAACAGGAACCCGAAGGCCGGCGGCTGCAAGGCGAGCGGAGGGCACGGTCAGCCGGGAGCCTCCCCGCCCGCCCCGCGCCCGCCCCGCGCCCCTCCGCGCACGCACCCGGCCGCAGAGCCCGCGGGCGGGCGGCCCCGGGGCGCGCAGCAGCGCCCGGCCGGCCCGCAGCGAGCCGCGCAGCGCCATCCTCCCCGGCCGCCTCGGGCTCCCGCCGCGCCCGGACTACAGCTCCCGTCCGCCCCTGCGGCCCGGGCACGCCGCCGCTGCCGGCCCGCGGGGAGCGGCCGGAGCCCTGCCGGGCTGCCCACACGCGGCTGAGGGCAATGGTGCGGCCAGGGAAGGGCTCTGCCCCTGGTTCGGGGTAGAGCGGGTTCGGCGAGAGCTGGAGAGAGGAGCGGGTGTTGGAAGCAGCGGGACCCACCGGGAAAGGGGGTGCGCTGGCCACAAGCAGCCCTGCCACGCTAGAGGCGTGCAAAATCCCCGGCGAGCCATGCTAGAAAGAAGAAGGCTTCTGATGTGATGAATAAGGCTATTCCTAGTGTAGTCCTTTTTGTACAGTGGGAGTACGGTGGCCTTGGGATGTGCTTTCTTGTACCATGTCACCTCATCATTGGAACATGAGAATAGTGGAGAGTAGGCCTAGAATAAGGAGTCGAGGGGAGTTGTAGGGAATCATATTGTTAGTCCTGAGGTGGTTAGGAGAGCAGCGGCTGCTCCTAGGATCGGTCAGGGGCTAGGGTCTACTACGTGATGAGAATGTGCTTGGTGTGCCATGGAGAGTTTGATATTTTCTTGTAGGTAGAGATTTGGGCAGGAGGGAGCCAAAGGCTTTGAGCCCTACAGTGCAATAACAGCGGGTTTATCTCAGCCCTTCACAGAGTCAAAGAACGGGCGGCTCTCGGTCTGTGAGGGAAGTGCTCCGGAGCTGCTCCGCGATAACAGAGGCGTGGGCCCGGGTGCGGCCTGGCCTCAGTCGGACTGGTGACTGCTCGCCCTGCCTGCCATCTGCATGCCCGGGAATGGCACCGCAGCCTGGCACCTCGGCCAGCCCACGGGGACAGGGATCGTCCCCGTGTGCTCGGCACTGGGCATGTCCCGCCTCGAGTGCTGTGTCCAGATCTAGGCTCCTCCCTGCAAGAAATTCAGGTGTGGAGCAAGTCCAGAGAAGAGCAGCGAAGGTGAAGGGTCTGGCGTTCTGTGAGGAGTAGTGAGGGAGCTGGGGCTGGAAGAGAAGCTCAGGAGAGACATTATGGCTCTCTACAACTCCCTGACCTCCCCCTGAGATGGGGGTCGGGCTCTTCTCCCAGGCAACAGCGACAGGACAAGGTGTGCCAGGCTGGACATCAGGCTCAAGGTGTGCCAGGCTGGACATCAGGAAGAATTTCTTCACTGAAAGTGTGGTCAGGTATTGGAACGGACTGCCCGGGGAGGTGGTGGAATCAGCATCCCTGGAGGTGTTCAAGAAATGACTGGATGTGGCAATGACTGCCGTGGTCTGGTTGACAAGGTCTAGTGGTGGTCAGTCAGTTTGGACTTGATGGCCTTGCAGGTCTTTTCCAACTTTAAGAATTCTGTAAGTTGCTGCCCTGCCTTTGCTCAGCCTTTTCTGTGCAAACCCTTTTCCCTACAGATAAATAAGGTTGTCTAAAACTCTGGTCACTTTTTTTACTCTTTGGCAGACTTGCATCCCTCTTTCCTGCACCCTGAAACAGAAATCTTGATGCTGAATTCAGCTGAGGCCTTTCCAAACGTGGGGAAAGTAAAAGGTTCATTTCACATCTATGGAGATGAAGCAATGTTTGTTTGCTTTCTGACTGGGCTTAGGATCTCCTGAGTCCCTCGACAGGGCAGGTTTAACACGTATGACTTTAGGCATCAATTACACACTGTAATTGTTTGTTTTTACGCTTCCATTGCCATGAACACCAACCTTAATTTGTTTTTGACCCACTTTAACACCTAGAGCCCTATTTGCTGAGCTATTAAAGCAGTGGCAATTCAGAGATATACATTTGTACAGATGGTTATTCCTCCTTAAGTGCTTTTGCCTTAACTGAATCACCTACTGTTTATTTTTTGTAATTTCCTCAATTTGCCAGGATCACTTTAATTTCTCAGAAGTGTTTGCAGCTCATCCTGCTCTGGCAAAATTTATGCTGGCCTTGGAGACATTACTGAAAGTATTTAGCTCTGTGAGGAACTGGGTTTAAAACTTTCTTCCATCAGCACACTACAGCTATTCTGAAGTGTGCCTTCCCAGCTATGTACAAACCAGAGGCCTCCAACCCTCACTTTCCCCGGCTGTCAGTGAAAAATAGTCAGAGAGAGAGGCAAAGACTTTCTGAAATTAATGACAAACACAGGAGCCTTGTCTCGAGTGCTGCTCACCCGTCCACCGAGGCGGTCCCTCCTGGCAGAGTGAAAATGTGATGGATTTGCTGTGATTTCTGCTTAGGGTATTTGCTAACGTGGATTTATGGCCTTTTAATGATACAGCCACTCACAAGTTAGACAGGTTGGGTTGTTTTGCTTGCTGGTTTCGGTGCATCTAGACTGAACTGCATTGAGGGGTCTCTCAGTCCCTTTTATTTTAAGTGTAGGGATACTTTTGCCCCTTTCTTCCCGTTCCTGAGGCATAAAAAAGAGCTGGGAGAGACATCCAGCCTGTCCCCTATCACAGAGATTTCATTGCTAAAAAAAGAAAAAAAAAATTAGTGTATTAAATATCCAGGAGTTATAGTGGGGGGGAAAGAGGGGGATGAGGCAGGGGTTTTTGGGGGTGGGGGGTTTTGGAGAGAGGGTTTTTGGGGTGGGTGTTTTTGGGGGTGAGGGTTTTGTGGGTGGAGGCTTTTGGGGGTGGGGGTTTTTGGGAAAGGGGGATTTTGTGGGTGGGGGTTTTGCGGGTGGGGGTTTTTGGGTTGGAGTTCCTTGGGCTGGGGGTTTCGGGGCTGGGGGTTTTGGGGGTGGGCTAAATGGGGGTGGGGTTTTTGGGGGCTGGGCCTAATGGGGTTGGGGGTTGTGGGGGCTTTGAAGGAGAGGGATTTCTGGGTGGGGTTTTTGGGGGTGAGGGTTTTTGGGGGTGGGGGTTTTTGAGCATGGGGGTTTTTGAGCATGGGGGTTTTGGGGCTGGGGTTTTAGAGGATGGGGGTTTTGGGGCTGGGGTTTTTGGGGCTGGGGTTAAGGGGGTGGGAGTTTTGGAGAGGGTTTAATCCCCCCGATGCGGGTTGTTATCCCGGCGCATCCCTGCGGGCGGCGCTCCTGCTCCACGGCACGGGCGGGCCCGCAGCGCTCCCTGCGCCCCGGCTCGGGGGCTCCGGGCACGGGGGATGCGGGTGGGGACGCGGAGGGAGGGAAGGGAACCCGTTGTTCTGCTCCCAAGGGGCCTCTGGGGGTATCCGCCCTTGGAGAGGTGTCCCCCAAGTGTGCGTGTGCTTTGCTCTGCGCGCTGCCAGCGCTGCCGTGTTTATTTTTCCAAGCAAGGCTGTCCAACAGGCTGGAGCGCTTATTTTTAAACCGACCCGGGGGGACTTTGCCAGCGGGCGGGCACAGGCTGAGCCTGGCACCGACAGCGGCAGGGCTGCCAAGCCCCGCGCTGTGCCGAGCCCCAGCCCTCCCTGCACCCGCAGGCAGGATTTAGCCCAGCATCCCTGTGCTGAATGCTCGTTGTGTCTTTTTCCCTTCGAACGTTGGGAATTTTTCTGGGTCTGCTTGGAGCTTCCCATTCCGTGAGCTGTACATGGACGGATCTTGTGGTTTCCTCTGCAGGCACATCTGGTAACAGCTGTACCCCAAATACCCCTAGGGATCGTCTGTCTGTCTGCCCTTCTTACACCACCCACAGGAGACTCCTTCTTCTTCCCCTGTCCACGCCGTGCTTGGATGTCTCCCATCTCCTTTCACAGCTCACTATAAAGACAAGCAAAACAGGCAGCTGCCCACAGCCTTCTCCCATGGGTGCCTGTGTAAACTTTGCAGCTCTGTTTTCCCTGGACTTACAGCCCTGTCATCACCCCCCTCTTCCTGACCTTCTCACACCCCCCTCGAATGCAGCCCTACCTTCCATCTCCGTCCTTACTGCAGAGGCTCTAATGGCCTGAAGCAACCCTCCCCCCACAGTTTATCTCTCCTCTTCCCATGCTGCAGCCTGCTCGTGGAATGATGGACAAGCTAAAGGTTGAGAAAATACAGTAAAATGCCTTTCTTATCCTGTAATGACCAAGGGGGAGGACACAACCCGATAAAAATGACAAACCAGGAGAATTGAGAGCCAGACCCTTCACCTGCCTGTCCCTCAGTGCACAGAAAACACTTGATAGACCTGCTGTGATTGCAACTGCTGCGAGCCTGGAAAGAAAGGAATGAAGGACTGAGCCAATTAGAGCCACAGGTTTCTGACCAAAGAAATGTCCTTCTGCTACCTGTGAAGAGGCTAATTCAGAGACTTGGATAGGAAGAAAACCTGAAGCAGGCTGATCATTTGGAGCTGGTGGAAAAAAACATCTGCAGCCCCGTGTTTTATGGCCAGAGGGCTTTGCTTAGCATCTGGCACCTGCATAGTCCCACTGCAGTGATGGAGGCTCACATGACAGATAGATCCAGCTGCTTGCTCAGGCCCATCTCTGTTTTCAACCACTTACTTTGCTCCTCTGTTTTTATTGGCATGATTTTTGACAGCAACCACTAGTGCTGGATCAGCCATTTCCTGGCAGGCAGTGACCAGGAGGCAAACATTTCATCCTCTAAATTGCCCCAAAGGCAGAATAAGATGCTCTGCAGCGAACACTTGTGCTGCAAACAAAGCTCCATCCACCTCCCATTCAAACAAATTGAACCTGAAGAGGCCACAGGGAGTGACAGATGGGGGAGATAACAGGCATAAAGCTTTAAGTATTGCTATGGCTGCTTGAAGTAACTGTAATAGAAACTTCCATGGATTTTCTACTCTCCTTCCTTCCTCCTGAGTCTGGATGGAGACTGAAGCAGGCTCTTTTTGCCTCTGTTTGCTCTACTCAGCCTCCCACCACCTTTGTGGCTGCCTCCTCCTCTTTCATCTCAGATATTGAAGCTCTCAAGGTGGCACTTTCTTCCCATGCCCACCAGCAGTACTTTGGGCAAAGAGCCTCACCGGTACTCTGGAGTCACCTGGTGCTCCACAAGGCAACTATTTGAAAATAATTCATTTTCTT